ATTTTACAAATAGCTTTATAATCTTTAAACCGTCGAGTATAAGTTAGAATATTTTGACAAGGATAAATGGTTTCTATCTCGCTAAAAACGTGGACCCAAATATTTCGAATATCGTCGTTCAGATGTCAAAATCTTGTATCTCAAAATTAGTGTATTTTGGGAAATCACCTAAAACTTCCCATAGTAGAAAATATAACTTTTAAAGTTATTATTTTTTCTGAAATGTGGGTAGTTCAACGAAATGAATTATTTGTGATAGTGATTAAACTTGAAAAAAATAGAGTTAGATTTTTTTGGAAAAAAATCGTGGGATACGAGTTTTTGAAATTTAAATAGTATATAATTTTAGGTCCTACGAGGTTTTGGTAGCATATTTTCAGCCCTCTTACTCGTTTTTACACGCAAAGAACAATATTACAGAAGAAAAATAAAATGTTTATTCTTAAATAAGAAATAAAACAAACATGTTACATAAGTACTCTGATATAAAATAAAATAACACAACTATTTTCCATATTTTGAAAAAAAAAAATTAGTGCTTCAACGAGTCATAAAATCCATGATAATCTGGGTGAATAACAGTCTTAAGAGACTGCAGGTGATTAAATTTGTCTTCTGTAATGGGCAAATGGTCATTATACATTTTTCTTACGATTCCTGCATTATTCGTATTTTTGCGAACTGGTAAAAACTGCAACTCCTCCTCAAAGTTTAGTTTGAATTGGACAGGCAAATCTCTGGAATACCTGAGAACCCTCAGATTATTCACGCATGCATCTCCCACTTTTTTTCCTGGACGAATGGATGAATAATACTTAATTTCGGAATAGTCATTAAAAAATTGGTGATCAATGTATTTAACTTTGTATGGATTTTGGAAATTTTTACGGGCCTCTTTAATTAGTTCCACATAATTGGTTGGTGAGTAAATGCATTTATTTTTTTTTTCTTTCTTTCAATGGTGGAGTGCACACTATCGCACTCCATTTGCGAGTGACCTTTAACTAAATATTTCTGTATAATTACCGTATCATTTTCGTTGCAGAAATGCTGAAGTGCATTAGCCAATGTTACATTGCGATTTTGTGCAGAACATCCATCGCTATAAAAAATTTTTGGTTTGTCCTTTTCTTGGGCATCTAACTCTTCATTTAAAAAATCAATTATACAAGATGTAAAGGAGTTGGCATCCGTTTTGTCGTCTCCCTCATGCCATACATAACAGACTACCTTATTATTTGTTAAATTATAGATGGTGAAGTTATGGCATGCTAGTTTCTGTTTAAAGTATACCATGCCTGCTAGGACGACAGGGACAAGTTGGACCGCTTGTACATCCATCATAAATACGCACACTTTTCCTTCCAACGCATCTTCTTTATCCTTGATTTTTTCCGTTCTAGCGCGATCTTTTTGGCTAATATGCGATTCATAATCTTCTTGCTCTACATTGCCCAGTTTATGCGAAAAACATAAATCACACTGGTCCTTCCTTGGATGATACACATCAATGTTTGTGTTTTTCATTTCTTTTAAGAAAACATCATATCCTACAGCAGATTGTGGTTCATAATTTTTGTATACGTCATATAATTCCTTATATGATTGAAAAGTTGTTTCCAAATAAAGTTTACTCGTTGATGAACGGCAATAATGGAGGGCATCTTTGGCAGTTTTTCAAGGAATGCTTTAACTTTATTTCTGCATTCAATATTGACAGGTTTAATCTTGGAAGGAAAAGTAGTAGTAGTTACTTTTGGGATACCCGCGTCACAACTAGTTTTCACCCAGTTTTGAACACTCCATTCACCCAATCCTAATGTGGAGAGAAACATTTTCTTGCAAACTGGAATTACGGTATTATCTATTTTCAAATGATAAAATAAACTTAAATTACGCCTTGATTTTTTTTGTGTTCTTTTTTGCTCTGTTGGCTGTTTATTAACTAGCGTACACACAAATATCTTTCGTTGATGCCAATCCATCATAGACCAAAACCCATCAAAAATTTTCCTTCGTTGATCATCAGTTATCATTGAACATTTTCTTTTTTCTTTTGCTGCTAAACACTTTGCTGAAATACATCTTGGTTTCATTTCCCGGGAGTTTCTCTTTATGGTAACTATAGATCCATCGTTCTCCTTCTTTTTTGCTCTATATTCTTTACCACTCATTCTTAAACATTTTTGTTTATTTCTTTCCCGAGTAGAAGAATCTGCTTTGCCTTTTTTGCTACGCCTTCTCTTCTCATTTTTTTCTCCTCGAAGAGCGTCTACTTCTTTAGGCGTCGCTTTAATTTTTTTGCGTCTGGCGACATTTACAGCTTCATCTTCAGAATCCGACGAACTATTTGGATAACTTGACTCTGATCCTTCGAAAGGTTCTTCAAATTCAATATTGGTGTTATAGTGTCAATTTTCTGCAGCTTCACTGATATTTTCTATATTCAAAGTTAGATCCCTACTTACATTCTCCATCTGAGTACTGTCCTTGACATCAACATTTATACTATCTTCTATATTAATACTAGCCAAACATCTGCTTTGGTTGTCATTTTTTAAATGAGATCCTGTTTGAATAGCAGTACTCTTTGAGTTAAAAATAGTACTGGAATGTACTTGAATTTTTTGTGAACAACCTGATGAAAAAGCAGTGTGCTGGGAACTCAAGGATTCTTCTCGAAAGGTCTCATAAACTTGTTAAAAGCCTGTATTTGCTTTTTTCCAATCTTCTACATGACAGCTCTTAAGAACTGCGACTTTTATCTCTTCTTCTGCGATCTCTTTAGAATGTAAATTTTGATTGGTAATACTTTCATTCTGCTCAATATCAGAATCCGCATTTAGACTTTCTAGTGCTGATTTGACCATTCTTAAAACCCGGCTTTCCTAAAAATAAAACAAAAAATACTTATTTTGTTTTCAAAGAAACAAAGAAACCTCGTAAATCAATATTGTAAATACTTGATTATATTTTGGTAGGTAACGAAACCTCGTATCACAATATTTTTCACTTAAAAATTTACTGTAATACATTATTTTGGAAATTCTTGTACCAACTGACAAGTTTTTGCTTTTCCTTAATTGATTTATATAATTTGTTTCAGTTGATCACTTGAAATATAATAATTGAGTCATCATAACCTCAAATTTTTTGGAACAATAAAAGTTATATTTCTGTTTAACGTAAAACAATGCGTATACGTATTATTAAAACAAAGTATTAAAATGTTTTCACTTACCATAGCTTCTAATAAACAGTTATAATTCTTTTAAACCTATATAACTGCACAAAACTATTCAGTATTTAACAATTTTTCAGACACGTGTTGACTTACGTGGTTTCGTGCGCAACATGTGAGATACAAGGTTTCTAAATTTGAGTGACGGAGGTGCAATTTTACATGCTTTGTAATAAGAGGTTTCTCAATCGATGCGGCTCGATTTACTAATATAGGCCACACAAAAAACGAAAAACCATCGAAAATTGAGATACGGGGTTTTGACATCTTAGCGACGATATGCCTTTCGAGAGTATCCCGCTAAGCGTGTACAACGGTTGAGGTGCTGTAGGTGCTCGAATCTTTTCGACTTTTTATAATGTAATATATACATGAAAAATATCTGATAATTGATTGAATGAAATTTTAATTTTATTTAATACTACGTGGGTAAGTAAATACTGGGTTACTTACTAAATATTCTACATTTCACTACAAATTTCTTAGATAATTCTAAATTAGCGCCAACGATATAGACTTGTTTTAACTTGTTATTGGGCGCGTGTTGCAACAATATCGTGCCGCACTTATATAGGTAAAGTTATTGTGAGACTACAAACGATTTTCGTTGCTTTCGCAAATATAAGAAAGATTCTGATTATTATGAAAAATTTTATCATACAAAAAAATCATTTTTATTAACTTTCAAGTATGGATTGTGATAAAAATGTGTCGAAGAAAAGAAAATCAGCTTCTGAACAAGTCGACACTTTGGAACATAACAAAATCTTAAGATCCAAAGTTGCAAGTTTTGATTGGGAAAATTTGTGCTTTATTTGTTTGGAAAACATTAAATAATATAGTCACCAGGTATATTAAAAGAAAAACTACATTATTATAGCATTGTAAAAAATTAATTTTAATTGTTTTAATTGTAATATGTCTAAATAAAAATAATTAGAAATATCTTTTTTTTTAATAAATTGTACGTAACATTTGTATTGAATTAATTTTTTAAATGTAAACAAATATTTCTACACGCCGCACGCCTGTATCGCCGCAACCGCTGTACACACTTAGCGGTAGACTGCTCGAAAAGCATATATTCGAAATATTTGGGCCCACGTTTTTAGCAAGATAGAAAAAAATTATCCTTGTCAAAATATTCTAACTTGTACTCGACGGTTTAAAGATTATAAAGCTATTTGTAGAATTGCAATTCATTTAGTAGTTTTTTAGAAAAAAAATCCCAAAAATCACTAATTAAGGCATTTTTTCAACAAAAAAATGCAAATAAATCGAAAAGGAAGCATTTTTCGAAAAATTATCAAGAGAGAAAAAGTGTTTAATTTGATGAGATACACCTAAAAAAATTGATTCCGAAGCAATTCGGTGAAATTGCTTTTTTGTATAAGTTATTTGTTAATAACATTTGCTGGCCCACTTATAAAAATTAAAAAAAATACATATCATTTTGGAAAAATATATAGAATCGAATAAAAAAGGTTTGGTGCATTAGAAATGCAAAAAGAATTTTAGTCGGTATATTCTGTTTCTAAACGTCTTTTGAGGGGTAAACCGCTCGCCTATATGTGATCCAGAAATTTATTTGTGCACTTCTCATCTTCCAACTATGCGATTTTCTATGTCTTGTCTTTAAGTAAGTTCCAAGTATGGAAAAGACATAGGTGATTCCAAGTAAAAAGTGGTTTATGAAAACCATCTTTTCAAGTCTTATAACTTTATTTATATTTTATTAATAGGTTTAATAGGTACTCACCTGGCATTGAGAACGTCTCTAGGATGTACCGGAGGAAAGAGTGGTGGGGCAATAACGCTCATAAAAGATCCATTCCCAGTCCAATTTTCTACAGTTCCAGTTTCAAAAATGTCGTTTAAATGATGTCCTGCAAAATCTACTTTCAGTATTGCTATAACTGCTGTCAGATGGCGACACGTAAGCATCAACTTGCAAGTGTCGCAACCAGTCACTTCAACTAGTTCTGAAATTAAAAGAATTATTTATCAGTTGGCAGTTATAGTCAGAAAAATTCTTATTTGTCACTTTGTGAACATATTACGAAACACAATGTGAAAATCATTACAAATTTATAGCGATATCAGAAAGTCATAATACGAGTAGACCAACGAATATCCAAAGAGATATCTATAAGAAGAGGAGTACGACAAGGATGTTTACTATCCCCTCTACTTTTTAATAAGTGCTCAGAATAGATGTTTAAAGGATCACTAGAAGACATCAATAAAGGCAAATTAATTAACGGAAATCTAGTAAATAATTTCAGATATACTTTACATTTTGAAGGAAAGAAAATGAGCTACTTTGGTCAGATACAAAAAATGAAACATATAAGTTGATGCAATTGGTTATACAAGGGAAAGTGGAAGGAAAAGGAGGACCGGGGAGACGATGCATGTATGGCTGAAAATTTTAAAACAGAGGAGCGGAAAACAACAATAGAACTCTTCAGATCTGTTGAAAACAGAGTAAAATGATCAAAGAAGAAGACTTTGAGATAAATAGCATGAGGATTCTAAATTTTAAGAAAAATTTACATTCAAATTTCCACTTTTGATATCTGACCTAGTAGTTCATTTGTAAACCAACCTTTTCCCAAACAGTGAAGGAATTCACTAAATAGTCTCACTATGGCCAGATATATTATCATCGGACTATGCTTATGGGGTCATTTAGAAAGGGTTATCGATTAAACAAAAGCAACATCGAACGAACTGCAACCAACTATAGTGTATTTTTATGTATGAGAGAGTAATAAAACAATAAATTATGTATGCAAATCCCTAAACTGTTGATACGGGTGACTCAATGAAAAACAGATATTTGTCAACAAGTTTACAGAAGCATATAGGAAAACAATTTTAAATTGAGTATGACCACCAGGTATAAAGGTTGGAGCTGAATAGAATACAATAGTTGTGAGGGTTACTAATCCCTAAATAAGGTTGCCAGTGTCGGAGTGATGGAGGTTAACAGGTACTAATGAATTTGCAAGAAATGTAAGATGTTTATTTTATTGGTTATATATAACCAATAAAAGTTTAATAAGTACCTACCTATTTGCAAAATAAAGTTTAATTCTTTAGATAAAATAAAACGTTTTATTTTATCTGAAATGAGTGCATTCCACGAAGTAAGGGTTTCAACAATCAAACATTTAATTCTTTAATTCCAGGAATCTACGACAGTAATTGACTAGATAATTACCTTCTAAACTTATTCCACAGAAAATGTGATAGTGGGTTTTTCCATTTTGTAGGAAGGTCCAAGTGGCGTATTCAAAATTCTTAACAGTTCACTAAAAGTAGGTACTTCAGTTGCAAGGTGCAGTTTATTGTGTATACTAGTGTTGTGGAAAATTTGGAAGTGCCGTGTAAACGCCGAAAAATTGGTCCTTTAACAGTTAATGAAAAAACATTAATATTTAATTGTTTTAAATCATTTACAGACAAACGTTTATGTGAAAGTGTTGATGAGAGCGTTGAGTTAGTTAGTAGTACACTTGGTGTTGGGAAATCTACGATTTACAGAGTTATTAAAGAAGAGAAATGTGGTAGTTTTCAAATGCCACGTAATGCTCCAGGGAAACCAAAATTTCAAATAGAATATCATTTTAAAGAAGGACTTCGACGGAAAGTGCATGAATTCTTCTTTAGACAAGAATTTCCAACATTGGATAAAGTTCTTGTCTCCGTTCGAGATGATAAGGATTACCCAGAAATGAGTCGAAGTACGTTATGGAAACTTTTAAAAGAAATAGGCTTTCGCTGGAAAAAGAATCCCAGAAAGTCTATTTTATTAGAAAGAAGCGATATTGTCATATGGAGAAGACATTTTCTAAGAACCGTAAAGGAAATGAGAAACCAAAAAAGAAAAATATTTTATCTTGATGAAACATGGATCAACGAGGGTCATACACCAAATAAATTTTGGCAGGATGAAACTGTTACAAGTCAAAGGCACGCTTTTGTAAATAACTTATCTACTGGTTTAAACCCACCATCAGGAAAGGGACGCAGGCTGATAATAGTACACATTGGCAGTTCAGACGGTTTTGTTGAAGGTGGTTTATTAACTTTTGAATCAACTCGTACCGGTGACTACCATGAAGACATGAACGCTGATGTCTTTCAAGAATGGTTCGAACAAATGATAGATCTTCTTCCTAAGAACTGTGTAATAGTAATGGATAATGCAAGTTATCACTCCAGACTTATAGAAGGACTGCCCACAACCAAGTGGTTAAAAAAAGACTTGCAGAATTGGCTGAGTTCAAAAAATATTACGTACCATCCCGGATCTATAAGAAAGGAACTTTATTCGTTGTGTGCCCTTCATAAAAAAAAATTTAAAAATACGAAATTGATGAAATTGTCAAAAATCGTGGAATGACAGTACTTAGATCCCCACCATATCATTGTGAATTAAACCCGATTGAACTGGTATGGGCACAGATAAAGAGTGAAGTTTCAAGAAAAAATACCACTTTTAAAATTCATGATGTTAAACAGTTGTTTTTGGAGGCCGTAAATAATGTAAAACCTGAAAACTGGGAAAAGGCAGTAAATCACACTATTAAAGAAGAGGAAAAAATGTGGAAGCTGGACAATATTACTGATAAAATGATCGAGCCAGTTATTATAAATCTTGGTTCTGAAAGTTCATCTTCTGAATCTGATTTGGATTTGTAACAAGTAGCTGTAAGTTTTATATTAATATTTTTATTCATCTATTTAACATACCTTAGACGGTTTTAAAAACTCTTTTTCTCTTTTGTAATTTTTAAAAATTAAAAAAAATGTGAATTTTTTAAAACCCTTTTTAATGTAGGCCAGTCAGTTCTAATATAGTGTGTGATAAAAGAGGTCAATTTTATTTACATACACATAACACTTTATAACACTGAAATAATTTATTTATTTTTTACAATTATTCAAAGTAATTTTTCAATTAATCTTGAGCACGCCCATGGAGTGGTCGGAAGTACTATTTAAAATTATGCTAATGACTCTCTCGTTCATAAAAATAAACTATAATATCTGCAACATTATGAAAATCGTGGTGGAGTGTTATAATTGGACCATCCTGTATAATTTGTGAGACTGTCTATATACTAATAATAATAGTTTAAAGTTATTTTTGAAGCTTTATTTTTTTTTAACCCTAAATAAATATTGAAGTTGTATTGTAAAGTATCGTAAATCACTAAGTACACTGACTAGAAATGTAAACAAAAATTAAAAAATCCTTTTTTAAATAACACCCATACATTCATAAATTACACGAATTTCAGTCCCATAAATCTAAAAGGAGGTCCAAAAATATCCCGAGTTAAGAAAACTCATAGAGGTGTATAGTATCAACAAATATATATTTTAACACCTAAAGATATGTACTTTCGTTTCTAAAAAGTGAATAGTCTCTGTGATTTTCTTTTTATGTTGTATACTACAATGATATTTTGCCATTTCTAATCTATCAATCTAGCATATAGGAGTCTAGTTTTTTGTTTTTCCTTTGGAGCGAATAAATCTTTTGCTTCTTTAAGCAAACTTCTTACTTAAATAACACGAATACGAAATGAAAAATCAGGGCACCGCTGAAATAATTCAAAACAGGTTTTAATGCTTTAGATCCAAAATGGAATGTTTCTTGGACCTCTGAGAGATTTTAAGAATAACTATAATTTAATATTTTTAGGATATCAGAAGGATTTTGTGCAGTATGAAGGGCTACAGAACTGCTATAGAATATTGTAGAAGCCTCTGTAGCCTCTTCTGGAAAGTCCTGAGAGATTTCGGACAGAATTTAATACCAATTGACTGCTCTTGAATCTCTGAATAGTCCTGGCAACATGGAACTGCACTGTAACGTTGAAGGGTTAAAATTCCAGAAGAGCCTAGAATATTACAGTGAACTATAATATGCTTTAGACTTTATTGCTTAATATACCAATTGACAACTATACTATTGAACGTGTGGATGCCTTCACATATCTGGGCACAGAAATCAATCAGAAGAATTCCATTAGTAGCGAAATTAATACACTTATTTTTAGTGGAAATCGTACATATTATGCTAATAAAAGATTGATGACATCGAAATTATTAGATAAAAGAACCAAAATGACTATCTACAGAACTTTGATTAGACCCGTAGTAACAAATGGTCGACAGAGTTAGAAATGATGAGGTCCTTAAACGGCTGAACCAAACAACACAACTGGTCAATATAATAAAGAAACGCAAGCTGGAATACTTCGGTCATATTATGAGACACCCTGAAAAATATGATCTTTTACATCTGATCATTCAGGGAAAGATCCAAGGTAATCGTGGTCCTGGTAGAAGAAGAACATCCTGGCTAAAAAATCTAAGGTAATGGTATGGAAAATCAACTACATCGTTATTTAGAGCTGCTGTCAATAAAGTCACGATAGCGAATATGGTAGCCAACATGATATCCAACGATCGATAACGGTCATGGAACTAGAAGAAGAACAAATGGTAGTGAAACCTGGGTAATGACGAAAAAAGAGGAAGTCAACTCAGGACATTCGAGAGAAAGATATAGAGAAAAGTAAATGGCCCGGTGCAAGAGGAAGACAGCACATAAAGGATCAGGAGAAACGAGGAGGTTAATGAACTGAATAAAGGGTATGACATTGTAAGATTTGTGAAAAGTCAAAGACTGTCATGGCTGGGACATGTTCGACAAAACGACAAATAAGATACTACAGCGGAAGCCTGTAGGAAGGCGGATAAAATTAAGACCTAAGACGAGATGGTTGATTTGGAAGACATAGCCAGATAGGCAAAGACCTATCCAGGGTTATGATGCTAAAAGAAGAAGAATATGCTTTAAAACTGCATATTTCTAGGATATCTGAAAGACCTGAGTGCAACATGGTATGATTTACCATGGTATGATATTTGAAAGACCTTAGAGTCTTCAACACTTCAAAGCTACATGAATTATTAGAAAGGCCTCAGAAATAATTTATGACAGCGCTTAATGTTCCAAAAATCTCTTGGAATACTTCTAGGAAAACATTGATTAGTGATTAATAAGAGCCCTATATTATTTCAGAGATATGAAGAATATTATGTATATACAAGAGAATCCTGAAGATAACATGAAGAGAGCATGTAATAAACCACGAAGTCATTAAAAATATTAACAAATGAATGGAAAAATATAGAAACAATTAAAGCACGAAAGCCACAATACCTTAAACATTATGTTTTGCATGCAAAAAGCTACTTCATGCTTCAGTTGAGAATAGACCGGGAGATCCAAAGCAAATGAAGCATAGGAAGTAGAAGAATCTCATGACTGCGTAACTTAAGAAAATAGTCGGATATACAGCAAGCAGCTGCATCTAAGATTAGAATAGTCTCGATTAAAACCTACTTCGGTAGCGGAGTTTACACGTAAAGAAAAAGAAGACCAAAAACGTTTCTGTTTATCAAAATAATACAAAAGTTCTTTAAAAAACTTACCTTCGTATCCATTGGTAATCCTCAACAAGAAACTGAACACCAAGATCCATAAAGATGCGATCATGTCCTTTGCAGTAACTGTTATCCTTTATTCGACTTTTAAGGAACATAACTATCATAATGCTCGTACAATTTGAAAAAAATCATCTACGAAATATTTCCAAAAACTTTTTTATGAGGTTTTGAACATTTTTATCAAATTTTCTTTTATGTTCGAATTTTTTGACATAATTCTAACAACAATCTAGCATTTTTGTATGTTTTCACAACACTTTTAATTATCAAACTCCAATTTTTACACTTATATCAAACGTTCGTGTATATTCTAACGAAAGTGATAAATTTTTCTTAACTTTTCCATTTACTTTGCTATACGCAAGCGATCATAACCATTTGACCAACATTTTCCTCCACCTGGAAACTCATCACCGTTTTCGATGGCCTTGAAAGTATTTACTTTTTCTGAAATTTATTGCAGATTTTGATCTTGGTTTACATAATTTGTACTCAAATAAATAGCGATGATCGTTTGTAGATAAAGTGGATCTGAAAATAAGTAGAAAAATTATTTTTAGTGCATAGTGTCGGTAAAAATACCGTAAGTTGTTGGTGCAATTCTTATTATTTTAATTAATATGAACATTACCTACGTCATTAATAACGTAATATCCCATGTATATATTAATAGCATAGTTGGTGGGCTTTCTTATTTTTAATAGATAAATTGTGTACATGATATTTTATTAATAATTATAAATAATCTCTCTCCGCTTTGCAACCTTCAACTTACACCCTCTTATGGTGCCCTATCCAATTAGTGGATAAAAAAAGGGGTTAAATCTTTGTAAGTGGGTATATTTAAAAAAAACCCTTAAAAAGGCTACATCAAATTAACACAAACGTTTTTGGAATAATAATTCCATCATCAGGTTAAAAATGCAAGTTAACATGCCTAATTTTATATTATAGGTAATGGATTTTGGGAACAGCTATGACCTTGAAAATGCCACAAAGAATATAACTAAATATCTCTTTTCTTACTCAGACTCTTTAAAGTCTTTTACAATATTTCGAAGATATGTAATTATATTATTAATGTATTGGATTTTGACAAGAGCTATGCATTATGCCTATTTAGTACACAAGTTTATGTGAAATGTTCAAGGTCATATCCATTGTTCATGTCCATTACCTATAAATATAATACGGTTCAAGAAACTCAAAACTACTATATATATATATATATATATATATATATATATATATATATATATATATATATATTATATATGTATATAATCTTTGCAGATAAGTTAAATAGTAAACTCTTAAATATTGGGGAAATCTGCAAGAAAAACTCTAATGTGTATCAATTGTTTCGCCGAACGTTTTCGCCAAAGAGAATTAATTTGGCTTCTTCAGGGCTGAAAGAGAATAAATTATAATTAGCTACCATATAGTATCTAATAAAAAACATTTATCTTACCGTAACTTTTAGAAATGTTGAGTTATAATGTAAAAAACTTAGCTAGTAACAACATAGTGGTGTTTTTTGTTACTATGTGCAAAAAAAATTTTTTAACGTTGGAAATGTATGGTAGCTTTGAACTTAAAACGCAAAGGTTTACCCAAGGTTAATTGAAAAAACCCAATGTAACTACATTTGAAGGGAAGTAATTCTTTGAATTGTCGGCAATAACTAAATTTTTGATTGTTATAAAATTTAAATGTGAGGTTCTGTTTTATCAAAACGCAAGCGCTGACAATTACAAGTAGTGCTTTTTAATATTTATGTCGTTAAGGTTCATTGGTAAAACCGATGAAGTTAAATCTCAGTTTGGGGAGATATTATTTTAGAATTTTCTTAATCGAAATTCTTTTTTAATTAGTATATTGTTCATGTATTATTATAATAATATCTTATTGAGATGTATCTAAGAAAAGAAAGGGAATGTTATCTTTTTTAGTTAATGAAAATTATTATTAAAGTGGGTTAGTTGTTAATAGATATATTAGTCAAGTTAGTTATCTGTGATGTTGTATTGTTCTTGGTATCTGATTTAAGTTAGAAGTGGTATATATCACTTAGATTCTTAATGTCACTCTTAACATTGATGGAAAAATCGTTAAGGAAAATATAAGACATTTCAATGAACTCTCTTTTAGATTTATTGTTCTCACGGGGGAGAATTGTAGTGTTCGTATAGTCCATGAGATGACCAGTTGAATGGACATGTTTGGCTAATGCACAGCGGTCAGGGTGAAGTCGAGAATCACTTTTGTGTAGTGTAATACGTGATTTCAATAATTGAGATGTTTGGCCGATGTAGGAATTGCTGCAAGAGAGCTATGGAATGTTGTAGACAATATTACTAAGCCTATCTATGGTAGTCTTCTCTTTTGTCTTCGAATAAAGATTATTAATTGTTAGGGCTGATTTACAAGCCACATTAAGTTTAATGTTTTATTAATTATTATTATTCCCAAAGCTATTTTCAACACTTTTCAGAATCCTTGTTAACCACGGAGTGATATCTCGGAAATAGTGTAATGAAAAATATTTATTGATAGGAGCGTGGGAAGCCTTTAAACGTATATTGTGATAATGGATTCACGTTCAAGGGTGCTAAAAATCAAATTAATAATTTTTATAATCAATCAGTAAAAATAGAAAATGTCGGTTTAAATGAAAAAATTAAATTTAGTTTTATTCCCAGTTACTCCCCAGTTTTTGGTGGTTTGTGGGAGGCTGGAGTAAAAAGTGCCAAATTCCACATAAAAAGAGTCATGGGCACAAATGAGCTCACATATGAGCAATTTAATACATTAATTGTACAAGTGGAAGGTACCTTGAATTCAAGACCACTTATGGCTATGTCACAAGATCCAACAAATCTGGAATATTTAACACCAGGACATTTTCTTATAGGAGCCCCCATAACCAGCTTTCCAGAACCTGATATTACCGAAGTTCCAAAAAATCGTATAAAATTTTGGAATCTCTGTACTCAAATGCAACAGCACTTTTGGAAAAAGTGGCATCAAGACTATTTAACACAGTTGCAAAATAGGCCCAAATGGAAAAATAAACTACCTAATTTAAAGGAAGATATGTTAGTCTTACTAAAAGAAGACAATATTCCATCATTTAAATGGGCACTTGCACGTATCACCAAGGTTATCCCTGGAAAGGATAAAATGGTTAGGGTTGTTGAAGTTAAAACCAAAAGTGGGACCTATGTAAGATCAGTCACAAAGGTGGCAGTATTGCCATTCTATGAATAATTGTAAATAATGTAAATAAAATTAATTTAGTTTAAGAAGTAGTACAACTAGTATTTTAGATAGTAGCTATATTTGTAAGATTTCACATGAAATGCTCTGGCCCCCAGCAAGTTGGAAACAATATCCAACACCTATGCAAAATTGTTGGGACGCTTTGTAGGTTCGGGTGTGTTCGGTCGGAAGTGACAGTGTTTTTCCCTGACACCACCTGCAAGTGACAAGTGACATTTTGCGCCAGTGCATTCATTACGCATAACGCCATTTTTAGTTGTTGTTTTATAAAAAGTAAAAACATACATTAGCTCTGGCTTGTTGCCATCTAATTATTATTATTATTGAAATAGTAAATATTATATTAGCTTTGGCTTATAGCCATCTAATTATCATAAGTGAATGGTGAATAGTCTAAATTAAATAAAGGTGTAACTACAGTAAGTTTCGTGAGTCTTATTTCCATTAATTAAGTATACAGTCCGCTAACCATCGAGGCTTTAGTTGTGCGTCTCGTACAAAAGGAATAACGCAGAAAATACAAAAAATTGTTGATATAAATTTTGAATTTTTGCATTTAAAATTTCATAAATGTCAGTAGTGTAAAAATGTCATAATTTAGTGGAGTAATCTTGCTTGCGGTTGGACCAATTAGGTACAAACAATCATTACGCCGCGGTAAATTTGAATTACTCCTCCTGGTTAAAAAAAAACCATAGTACAACTTTCGTAGATCAAATCTTATTGTTTTAAACCACAAATTGTCAAGTTAATTTATTCAGACACACTAATTAAACTTGTATAAAAAATATTACCAAGATACACAAATCCCTGCGCGGCAGAAGATTACGTAATATTAGGAGAATGATTAATTACTTTAGTTCCACAAGAAAATAAGCGAATAAAACAACCAAATTTTCACGAAAGTTTGCATTGTTCATGAGCTTTCATTAGTTTGAACTTTCCCGCAGAGAACAGCCTGCGTTCTCCAGCTTATGTCTTCTAATATTTAATAGATCGTTTCTATAGAGTTGTAAATTATAGTTTGGAAAACTGGAACAGCCGTGAATTGAAACAATTCTGGTCGTGACACAAGTTGAGCTGATCTTTAAATTGGATAGTTGAATTATGCAAGAAGGTGCTACGTTTTCGTATAGTTTGCAGGAACTGGATGTTATAATTGTGAATATAAATCATTTTAATATTGACTTTTCGATTGTAGTATGTACAAATATTATAAAAGTCTTACAAGATTAAGAATTTCACGAATTTATGTTTTTGTTAGTAGCTTATGAATTAGTCATAAATACAAGTTTTTAAATTCGTTGAAGTTTTTTTTTTGTTTGAGGACGTCCTGGTTTAAAAAGGTCACTATACAGTATACTATAAGGGCATTTTAGCGTGAAGCATGTGCCCATGTTTAATCCCATTTATGATTATTCTCAAATGGCACGATTAGGAAATCGTAAGCATGAACAAAACAGTTATTAAAATAAAATGTCTGGTACTACAGAACCTTCTATATAAATCGAATAATGGTCTTCCAAAACAGGCTTCCTCTTTTCAACTAATAAGACACATTACACAGTTTTCAGCAAACGCAAGAATACCATTCCTGTTTCATCAATATTTAAAGGTCAACATATATCTCATTCAGAGGAATCGAATTTTTTGGACCTAACGTTTGATTCCAAATTAAACTCTACACACCTTACAACTTTACAACTAACTTGTCAAAATAGAATAAACTTGCTGAAAATTCTATCCAATAATATATGGAGAGCTGATTCTAGTATTCTGCTTAACCTCTACAAATCAAATATTCGCAGTAAACTGGACTACGTTGCAATATGCTACGATACAGCAAATAAAACGCTCCTAAAAACCTTAACACAATTCAAACAACAGCTCTAAGATTAGCCGTCAGTGCCTTCAGAACCAGTCCTGTAAGCAGCTTACAAGTAATATCAAGAGAACCCCCTCTACATCTAAAACGACATCTACTTAGTTTAAATTATGCAGCAAGAATATCTTCCAATAAAAAGCACCCATTATATTCTGAGATTATTAACGCACCTACATCCAATTTGTATAGAAACAAACAATATAAAGACAAACCCTTTAGGGAAAGAATCAATCAAAAAGGATTCAACACAGTGTCCAAAAAATACCACAAATCCTAACCTTATCATTGATACATTCAAAGAAATTATGGAGAAGTATCTAAATCACCACATAATATACACAGATGCATCAAAAACTGAAAATGG